TTTTATGATATTTAGTCTTGTTTCCCTAATTTCTGACTCAGTGAGTTTGTTGTTTGTGTAGAGGAATGCTATTGCTTTTTGGGTGTTGATGCTGTGTCCTACTATGCTACTGGGTGTGTTTATTAATTATAGGTGTTCCTTCATGATTTTTTTGATCTTCTATGCAGATGATTATGTTCTCTCTGCATAATGATAATCTAACTTCTTGCTTTCCAATTCTCATTACTCTTATTTCTTTCTCTTGTCTAATGGCTCTGGCTAATGTTTCCAGAACTACACTGAATAGGAGTGGTGGAGCTGGGGAGATGGCTCAGTAGAATAAGCAGTTGCCTGGCAAGCACAAGGGCCTGAGTTCATTCTACGGTTCCTCGCACCCCCCCCAAAAGAAAGATGTGGGATCTCACCAATTGAATAGATGAGATTGAAAATCCACGTATTGTACCTGATTTTGGAGTAAATCTTTCCTTTTCTGTCCATTTAGAATGATATTGGCTGTTGGTTTGTCACAGATGGCTATGGTGGTACAATTAGTAATAATGGTAAAATTTATTTATTATTTATTTATTTATTTATTTATTTATTTAGCAGAACCAGGGATTGAACTCAGGAGCTTGCATTTGCCAGGCAAGCACTTAGTCTATTAAGCTATGTCTACAGTCTCTAAGCAAAATTTAGAAATAAACAAACTTGGGTAACTATTAAACTTGTATTTTAGACCATACAATCAAAGCTTGTAGTTAAGTAACAGAAAAAATTCATAAATTGACACTTTGTTTACAGTGTTTTTCCTTGTTAGAAAGGATGTACACTCTTTTTCTCTGAGCAGGCCAGTTGCTAGGCTTCAGATGCTTCATGTTGTGTGGTGGGATGGATAAAGCACCTTAATTCCTCTGACACATCTGCCTGTTGAGTCTCAAGTGCTTTTTGAACTGATTGTCCATCCTGCAGTTTACAGAGATGGGTCAGGTACCTGGATTCCTCTGTCTATGTTAATTGCTTAGAGTCTCTAGATGTATTATTTTTATACAATGAAGTATTACTCAGCTATGAAAAAGGATAAACCTAAGAGTGTATAGGTAAAATGATGCAATTGGAGGCCATACTCATAAGTGAAATAAATCAAATTTAAATGTAAAAACATTTATTGACTCCCTAGTCTAAGTAATTAAAAGAGTGAATTATATATAATGTATAATAGGAAAGAGCAAAGTGTGGTGCCATAGATGTGGCCAGGCCTGTGGTTCAAATGTGGAGGTGTAGAGTAAATAGAGGCAGCCAGAACCAGTGAATGAAACAGCTTCATGGACCCAGGAGGAGGGAATTAGGCCTGTGGCTGAACACAATGAGCTGAGGTATTCTGCTAGGACCAGTGGGGACCAGACTGAGACACAGACCTACCAGGAGGATCCTCATGGCATGAAGGTGGCAGGAAGAAGCTTAAGTGAACTAGTCTGCCTGCAAGTTTCCAGGTACACGAGGAAGAGGTGTCTGGACAGAACTCAGTCAAATCAGTTTACATATAAATTCCCAATTTAGGATAGGATTTGTTATATAAATGTAGTGTTTTCTCCTATGGCCTAAAATACCAAGCAGTCAACAAAATTTGTCAACTTCTAAAGTTCACTTGCTACTATCAATATTTTTAATTGTACTACTGTAACTAAATACCATATCCACATAAATTACACATTCTCCCTTGAATAATGATGTGAAGAGACACTTGGCCAATAACCACACCAGAGCCCTATACTGAAGGTTTGAAGACAGTATCAAAGAGAAACCAATATCCTACTCCCAATCAGTGAAGAAAGCACAAACTTGAGACACACACAGAAGAAGAATGTCTGACATAGAAGCGATATCTAAAAACAGAAACTTTATAGACAGGATCTAAAACCAGTGATATAGGTGTCTAATATAAAACATTCAAAAAAAAGTATCACAGAAATGAAAATAGTCTTTTGTTCTCAAATACAAAATGACAAAACAAATTAGCAAAATACAATTTTAGGCCCCAAGTCCACCCAAATCAAATTCAGAAGACATCAGCGTAGAAGCAAATGGAAGCCTCACCCCTGAAATCTCTAAAATATAGCAACTGAAGAAAAGAAGCAACTGAAAAAGGGTATAAAGGAAATCATATCGGAAATAATCTCCCAGGTAAAAAACAAAATGGTAACTATATTTAAAGAATTACTAACCATTTGTAAAGAAGATATTGATTAAACAATAGAAGAGGGCCAGCCAGATAGTTCAGCAGAATAAAGCACCCGCTTAGGCAGAACACAGTGGCTGGGGCTCGATCTCCTGTGTACTGTGCCAGCTCTGCACCCCCAGGGTGCACTGAGACAGGGACTGAGACTAGATGTGGTAGTGTGCACCTGTAATCCCAGCAACTTGGAGGCTGAAAGCAGAAGAATCACTATGAGTCTGATCTATGTAGTGAGATACTGTAAACCCTGTAGACGCTGCCCTAAATAGAGGAGAATAAATAAATGATGGAAACCTTGAAACATCAGCATTGGAAAGAATATAATACATGAAGCAAATTCAAAGAGATACACAGGAAATTAAAAGCTACATTAATAGTTGACAAAACCATTTGAATTAAAGTGAAGATAAAATTTCAGACTTTGAATACACCTGTGCAGCTAGCAAACAAGTAAAGACCCACTTCAGAGATGATAAAATATACAAATCACAAAGATTCAAATGTATGTGTTATGTCTGGAGCAAACTAGACAAATTGTTGTTGCTTATTCTTCCAATGAGGCATACCTACAGAGTTTGAAAGAACACAATACAGTTCCAAATATGGAGACTTCCTAAACTAAGATAAAGCCCTCACAGATTTCTAGAGTTAGATACTTTTTTACTTAAGTATTCTTTGAGATTTTTAATTAAGGCTATTCATGGGAAGTTTAAAGGATCTTTTCATACTTAGTGTGAGACCAAAGTTTGTAGGTACTTGAATTCAGCAAAATAACCCAATATAGTGCAATAGTCCATAATATTAGTGGTTTATCAGCACAAATATTCTTTTTCTTACAGCAATGGAACACCCATGTCTGACAAAACAAGACAAAAAGGGGGATATAAGTGTGTGTGTGTGTGTGTGTGTGTGTGTGTGTGTGTGTGTATTTAGGATAGATCTACAGCTATTTCCTCTTAGTTCAATGAGAAGAAAGATTTGTACTAATATTGTTTAGACAAGACATCATGTCTGCATCTTGTCCTCTGAATAACTACTAGAAAGACAACAGTATGCAATTATTATAACTGTCATACTAACCTGTTTTGAGACTTCTTCATTGTTATGCCATCTTTTTTCTCATTAACATGAAAAAATTAAAAATTAAAAATAAAAAATGAGAAAACGGTTATTCATGGGAAATTTTGAAAATATAACTGAATATTTTATTCTCGAATTTTTAAAACTTTAACATTACAACATAGCTACTTTTGTATGAGATATACATTATATATTAAATGAAATGTTTAACTTAAAAATAGTGAATAGATGGGGCCAGGAGATGGCTCAGTGGAATAAACAATTCCCTGGCAAGTGCAAGGGTCTGAGTTCAATCCCTGGTTCTGAAAAAAAAAATAGTGAATAGAAATCCTTAGTTAAATATGTGATTGTAATGGAGCTATGGAACCGTCCACTATACTGGCATGTAATAACTGAACTTTGTAGTTTTTGCTATATATAAAATTGAGCCATGAATGTATCCAAGACAGGAGAATTGCATTGTTTATCTTGCCTGCCAACCCTAATCTCAGTGACTCTGTCTGGGCAGATTTCAATTTAAATATTTAAAAGTATCAATAGCCGGTTGAAAACTTTTGTTGTAGGAGAACTTAAAATTGTTAGACCCTAACAAACACAAAGGGATATAGAAGAGATTTTAGTGGAAAATAATATAAGCTATAGATTTGATGAACAATAGAAACCGTAGCAAAAAAAAAAAAAAAAAAAAAAAAAAAAAAAAAAAAAAGAATATTGAATATGGAAGAGAAGGATATTTTGAATGTTCAGGTAT